GCACGAAGTCCGCCAAGGATAACGATCGCAGTGGCGGCGGCAAACGCCAAGGTGGGCGCCACTGCTATGTCTGCGGAGAGCCGGGGCACCTCTCATTCGACTGCCCTGATCGCAAGTAGTCTGACGACGACCAGGAAGCCGGTCGCGGAAAGTCTGACACCGGCGGTCATCGTCGTGACAATCAGTCGCCCAAGGAGAAGCAGACATCGAATATGTCTTCGGCGACGGACGCCGGCTCTTCGAGCGACAATGCACGCAGTGACGCAACGGCCTCGTGCTCGATGGTCGACATGGTGGAGCCGACCATTTTCTTGGCGCCGGAGGCCGGCTAGGACTTCCAGGCGGTCGCCGCTGCCGAGAAATACGAACCCGACCGTGGTGCTTTTCAATATCAGCTGCTCCCATCACCTGATGGGAACTCGAGAGGCCTTCGTCGACTTGGAGTCGCGAGGTGACGTCAGCCACATGCGCGGCTTCAACGGCGCGATTCAGGTCGTCCAAGTTGCGCTGAACGGGGAGGATGGGAAGCAGATTCTCACCCCCGGTGTGATGTACATACCGGGAGTGCAGGCAAACCTGTTGTCGTGAAGATGTAGGAACGAGGGCGACGAAACGCTGCTTGTGTCGGCCGCGGGAGCCGTGCTCAGTCGTGCGCGCTATGCTGGCCGGGTTCTCTGCACCGACCTCGGACCGTGCTCGCCAAAGCCGATGTCGCCGCCAATGGAGACAGTTGCTATGCGGACCATTGCCTCATCGACGAGGTTGACGACAGACATTTGGCATGCTCGGCTTGCGCACGCCAGCGTCGACACAATCAAACACACGGCGGCACATGGAGCTATCATCAGCTTGGAGATGAAGTCATTCAATGGCGCCGACTTGCCCTGCGTTTCCCGTGTCGGCGGTAGATTGGCGCGGCACACCTTCCCCGACAAGGGCTCGGAAGCTGAGAACTCGCTCGACGTCGTCCACATCGACTTATGCGGCCCCGTTTGTGTAGTTGCCAATGATGGACCACAAGACCCGCTATGTGTGGGTCCACCCGCTCGCCAAGAAGAGCGACGTGCTAGAGGTGTTTCAGAATTAGCTGAAGGTGGTGGAGCAACATATTGTAAAGTCAGTGAAGATGCTCCGATCTGACCGCGGGGAGGAGTTTCACCGACTTCGTCGAAGACTTGATGTGCTTCTACACGCCGAGTGGAAGATGCGCACGTTCTTCGAAGCCGTGCGGATGATGCTCCTACACATGGGTGTGCAGCATCACTGGTGGCACCTCGTCCTTCGACAAGCCGTTGGGGTGCGCAACTGTCTTGAACACGCTTCTCTGCCTTCGGGAAAGACGTCGCACGAGCTTCTTTGATCCTTTAAAGGAACATTCAAATTGTATCAAATACTTCGGTCATGCTGGCACGCGTGTTGGGTTGCATGGTGCAGTTTAGCGCATTGGAAAGCTGGCGCCGAAGGCACGCTGGGAGCTTCACCTTGGTATTTCGCAAGCGAGCAAAGGCTGGGAGGTGCTCGACCTAACCGACAACCGCATCGTCACCACTGTAGAGGCCATCTTCTGCAAGAGGATGTCGCTCGAGACCTGGAAAGCAGAGCATGGGCCAGAATCGGCACGAATTGGTGTTTCCCTGCCGACGGATTCATCGCCGGCGGCGACTCAGTTGCTCGTCGCCGAGGACGACGACCAGCCGGACGCCCCTTCACCTCCTCCCTACGTTCATATGTCGGTTCCCGCCATCACGCCGTTGGCGGCCTCCTCGCTTACTGCGGTCGCTTCGCATCCATTGCCCGTCGCCAACTTGCCTAAGTCGGCGTCTACGTTGGCCACCGGCGACGAGGGGAGCATTTGTGCTCCGCCTTCGGCGCCACACAGAGGCATCGACGGCGGCCGACGTGAAATGGTCGGCGTCGAGCAAGTCAACGATTAAGGGGAGCCGACGATAGGGGAGCAGTCGACAGAGGAGCAGACGAAAGGCGAGCAGCTCGGCGACGGCTCGTCGAGCGACATTGTGGAAGTCGTCGGCGAAGCTGGTGAAAATGCGGGGGAGCCGTTGACGGGGCAGTCGTACAGCGACAGCTCATCGAGCGACGTGGTGGAAGTCCCGGTTGACAAGCCGGCGGCGCGACGTTCCATTCGCTCGAACTTCGGAGTACCTCCGGAGCGTCTTGCTAACGTGTGCCCGGCGTTCGCCAACACGCTCCTCGACGACGCGCATGCCAATGTCGGGCTGCCCTAGCTGGGTCTCGACATGCACGCCGATCCTGAACGGCGTTGGGACATCTCGGCGATGACCGTCAACGAAGCGATGACGAGCTGGAATGAAAAGGCGGTGAAAGCGGCGATAGACGAGGACATACGGAGTGTCCTCGCCGACGAGACGCAGGAGATGGCGCCTCGACCACGCGGCGTCAACGTCATGAAGAACCGCTGGGTGGTCATGACGAAGTACCACGCCGACGATACGATTGCTCGCGAAAAGGTGAGTCTGGTTGTGAAATGCTTCACCCATGTCTACGGCGCCGACTACGACGAGACGTACGTGTCGGTCGGCGGCTACGTCACGCTGCGGATCTTCCTCTCCATCGTCGCCGCCTCAACTTGCACCTGAAGAACGCCTTCCTCCATAGCTAATTGGATCCCGTGCTCTACATGGATCAGCCGTCTTACTACAACGACGGCACAAATCATGCGTGCAAGCTACTGAAAGGCTTGTACGGCCGCAAGTAGAGCACGTTGCTGTGGTACTCCGCGCTCGACGCCGTGTTGATCAGCGTCGGCTGGAGTAAGAGTCAGGTCGACAGGGTAAAAAAAAAACAAACAAAAATCAGCCCTCGGCAGGAGTTTCCAGGAACCAATGTCAAGGAGTTTCCATTAAAGAGCAGGTCGTACGACCATTGCGTATCGAAGTGGACTGTGTGTGAAGATTACAAGTAATGATATGACGGTCCGCTTAAACGAGGATGGGTGAATTGAACGAAGGACAATACTATTTGTAAAGTTGCATTTCAACACATGTTGGTCGGGTGCATTGAATGATCAGAGTTGGGAAAGCCGTTCATCAATGCCATATTTGGTTATGTATTTATGCATTATTGCTATAGTGTCGTAAAGTAACTGAGTGAAAATTATTTAATTAGGGTAAAGCTGAGAAAACGTTTCCCAGTGAATAGGGTGGCTACAATGGGGAGGTCGTAGGAGAAAAGAAAGTATTGCTGTATATAGAGTTAATGTGTACCTTGCATTTCTAGAAGCTTCACGCATTTTCAGGCGTCGATATGAGTTCATCGGACGGGTTTCAGCGTGAAAGGGTTTGGCAAGGCAGTAATACAGCGTCAACAAACCGAATCGCGAAGGCGACACCGCCCTCCCGAGGCGCCTTCGATAGGTGGTTTGCTTTTTACAAAACAAGCCCCTGCAGATTGAAAGTGTTAAGTGGAGAAAACATACTTTCGTGGTATTTGCGCTACATATGGTAATGTTATGAGGCGGAATACAACAAGTTCTCTCCAGTGTACTGTTTCTATTTACATGTGCAATTCTTCTCGACTGCCCATAACTCGGCGCACCTTTCAATCCGAGCCGCGGATTTCGTCCATGAGAAATGTCGGCGCTTCGCCTGAGGCTTGATGGGGGAGGAGCATCTGGGGGGCAAAATTTCGAGAATAAATTGAGGCTGGAAATCCAATCGAGTCATTCACTTCCAAGCGTCGTTTCGAGGTTCACTCCCCCGCCCAGTGCCCCTTTCATCATGGCTCCGATGAAGCTCCTCGCCCTTCTCGTCGCCGTTTCCGCCCTTTTGGTTACCCTGCTTGCGCCCTCCGCGTTCGCGGAGTCAAGCGCCGTCGCCAGCGCCGAGGCATCAGGTGGGTACCGCCATTCCGCTGCTTCTCATGTGCGTGAAATCTCGCTGATTTGTTTGAGTTCCTACTACTACTACAAATTCTGACGCCCGTCGCGTTTTTAAAACTGCAGGAATTCTCGCCGCCAGGCGATCCTTGGGCGACGACCACCACCATCATGGCGACGACGACGACGACGATCACCACCACGACCACCACGACGACCATGACGACGACGATCACCACAAGAAGCCGAAGCCAAAGCCGAAGCCGTCGCCGCCGAAGCCGTCGCCGCCGCCGTCGCCGCCGAAGCCGAAGCTGACGTGCATTCAGAAGTACAAGATCAAATATGCCGCGTGCGACGACAAGGAAGAGAAGTGCGTGGCGAAGGCGGAGGATGCCGACGAGAAGAAGACGTGCGAGGCGCAGTCGACCATGTGCGAGCGCAAGGCGTACCGCTCGTTCAAGAACTGCAAGTACGGCAAGTGGGGCTGCAAGGACTGGTGCCTGTACCGCCGCCGCCAGTGCCTCAAGTGGTACAAGGCCCCGATGTGCGAGGAGAAGTACGGCGAGTGCACTGAGGCGTGCAAGCCCAAGCCCAAGCCGTCGCCCAAGCCGTCGCCTAAGCCGTCGCCTAAGCCGTCGCCGCCCAAGAAGGAGCACCACGACCACCACGAGCACCACAAGCACCACGACCATCACGACGAGCACCACCATGAGCACCACGACGACTAGACGTTCGGTGGCGTCTTTTCAAACGGTTCCCCTCGATTGCACGCCCGACGGACGGACTCCCGTAGTAGAAACGCTCAAGTTGAACTCACGGCGAGTTTCCCGAGGGAGCGATGGGCCACGACGAGCAGCCTCACAAAAAGGATTCGAGGGAACCTCTTCGTGACACTCACAGGAGAGTGCAAGCTGACTGCGAAGGAGTATAACCTCTTGTTGTGCTGCTTCGAAGTTCTGCTGCTGCCACGTTCTTTCTTCTTCTTCTGTGGGTTGCGTTCATTTCGCCTGTGCGATCGCGGGGATGCGTTTGGGTTAGGATAGCGGGAAAGGGAAGTAGAGGGGATAGGGGAGTGTGTGTGTGGTAGTGAGCAGGGGAATAATGTGGAGGTCGTTGTAATACTGATGATATATGCAACATTTCTGGGTTATTTTTGTTCCATTTCTCTCAGCCCTGCTTCCTCCTCCACACCACCATCTCCTCCCTCCACCCCCTCTAGACCACCCCCTGGGCTGTCCTAAATTTGGGGAAGGAATGACATGGGCAAGAGAGGAAGTTATACAGAAGAGGTGACACCCAAAAGCCCTGCTGACCAAGTTTCGTTCCCAATGCCCATCTAAACTTCTTCCTTTCGAGATCCCCCCCTGCTCCTTTATTCTCTCCTTCCATCGCATTCCACGTCATCCTCATCTCTCTTCCCCCTCCCGACAAACTTCCTCCTCCCCCCCATCCCTCCTCTCTCAGTCATCTCCCTCATCCTCTTTAACACACCCAATCCATTTACGGTACATGAGATCCCCTCTCGTACTCCCCCTTTCTCCCATTCGTATCCTTTCCCCAAAAAAGTGTCAATGCCACCTTCCATATAACTCCTCAAAGTTCCATATAGATTTATCTCCTAACATCACCTCCTGGTCTTATCGAGTACCTCTATATGGGACTTGGGAATGCCATGCACGTCTACAAGCAGACGAGCCAACTCGTCCAGAACCCCTCCCTGAATCAGCACCTCCTGCTGCCGCTTCCTTCCTGCGTCATGTGCATGTTTGCATGTGTGCATGCATGGAAAGAAAGACAGAGAGGAGACGAGGAATCGAGAGGGTATGGGAGGAGAGGGGTAGAAGATGGAAAGGACGAAAAACGCCGTTCCTTGAAACAGCACCTCGTGCTGCCCCTTTTAGCCTGCTTTGTGTGGATACATACATGCATGCATGCATGGATGAGTGCATGGGTGCATGGGTGCATGGATGGGTGCATCGGTGCATAAATGCATGAGTGGGGAGGGGAGAGGGAGAGCAGGGTAGCAAACACCTGCTGCAGCAGAACCCACCCACCTGTTGCAACGAAAGCCCATCTGACACATCCGAATCGCCTGGCAGACCAACAATGCCCACCTGACACATCTGGAGCAGCAGCGCCCACCTAACACTTCAGCCACAGATGTGCTCGAGGCGAACTTCTTCCGCAGCTCAGCAGCGAGCGGCTCAGCCTCCACCAGATAAGCCTCCCGGTACCTGTTACCCCTGCTAGCCCCCCCAGCTGTTGTGACAAACACCAACCCAGCACCCATTTACTGCAACAGCAGCCCACCTGGCACTTCAGTCACCGATGTGCTCGAGGCAAACTTCCTCTGCAGCTCAGCAGCAAGAGGCTCAGCCTCCACCAGATAAGCCTCGAGCCCCGACACGCGCGTCACCTTCTTGTTGCCCTGCCGCCTCTCCACTAGAATCTGCACGGGCACCAGCCCTCCCTTGCGCACCACACTCTTCCCCGCTCTCTCCACCCTGTGATGCGCCTGCATGCGGCGAACTAATGTGGGGCCCGCGTCCCGCTTGTGGCATTCAGTGGGGTATGCCGCGCCCTTTTTTATCGCGCCTTTGTACAGTGCGTCGCAGAGCGTTGCGTCGAGGATGACTATAGAGGGGTCGGAGGGTTTTGTGAGGGAGTGGAGAGAGATGTAGGAAAGAGCGGCTTCGCGCGCAGCGGAGGGGGAGTAGTAGGCGTGTGGGTCGAGACCGACGGATTCGAAGATAGCTGAGACGTGGTGAGAGGGTTTGAATACCTCCTCTACTGTCAGCCCCCCACTGCTGCTGCTTCCGCTGCCACTGCCGCTGCTGTTACCAGCAGTAGCTGCGCTGCTGCTCCCACTGCTGGTGGTGGTGGCGGTGGCTGCTCCTGGGGCGGCTGCGGATGCGTCTTGGGATGCAGCAGCAGGGGTCTGGGCGGGTTTGTTCGTCTTGTCTGGTGTGAAGGCGATGAGGGTCGGGTGGCGGGAGTTGATTGCAGAAATGATGAACTCCTTTCTGTGCTTGTCCTCCTTGCCTGATATCTGGAGGGGGGTGATGGGGAGAGGTATATAGATTTGTGCAGTGGGAAGGGTGTAAGGGAAGGGGTGGCTACATGCTATGTACGGTTAAAGGCAGACATTATGAACTCCTTTCTGTGCTTGTCCTCCTTGCCTGATATCTGGAGGGGCAGGAGGGAGAGGTTGGGGTTGGGGGGCGGGCAGAAGGGTGCAATGGAAGAGATGCAAGGGAAGAGATGCAAGGGAAGAGATGCAAGGGAAGAGATGCAAGGGAAGAGATGCAAGGGAAGAGATGCAAGGGAAGAGATGCAAGGGAAGAGATGCAAGGGAAGAGATGCAAGGGAAGAGATGCAAGGGAAGAGATGCAAGGGAAGAGATGCAAGGGAAGAGATGCAAGGGAAGAGATGCAAGGGAAGAGATGCAAGGGAAGAGATGCAAGGGGAGGTGATAACATGGGGAAGGATCGAGGAGATAATGGTGTATGCACGAGATATTCGTGTGACTTTTGAGAATTCTCAAAAGTCACACGAGTATGCCTGAGAGCTGAGAGGATGATCTCCTTGTGGTGCTTGTCGTCGTGTGCCATGGTAACGAGGTGACTTTTGAGTCGACTCGTATCGAACTCAATGGCGCCTAACTGGTGTCCTCTTCCAGATAATGGTGTATGCCTGAGAGCTGAGAGGATGAACTTCTTGTGGTGCTTGTCGTCCTTGCCGCATATCTGAAAGGGTAGAGAAGGAGGCGCGATTGGGAGGTAGATGGGTGCAATGGAATTGGTGTTTACATGCCATGCCATGGGCCATAAGTGGTTGACAGATGAGGGAGTGAAGTTCTTGGGGTGCTTGTCCTCCTTGCCGCATATCTGAGGGTGGAAAGGTGCTTATCATAAGGAAGGCCGATGAGTGCAATGGGAGGGCGCTTGAGGCGCCTCAAAGGTTGTATTGAGGAGGGCCAATGAGAGCAACGGGAGGGGTGCAATGGAAAGGGTGGGTGGCACGGGTGGATTAATGCCATGGGTGGTTGATGGCATGGCAGAGGGAATGAACTCCTTGCTTGCCCTCTCTGGGTAATTTGAAGGGGAGTTGGAAGTGTTAGGAAGGGGTAGATGGGGTTAACGGAAGGGTGGAAACGAAGGGGGTGGGTTGGGTACATGCCATGGGTAGTTGGTGGCAGAGAAAATAACACACACTCACACACAGTCGCACACACTCTCACACACTCGCACACAGTCGCACACACTCTCACACACTTGCACACACTCGCACACTCTCACACACTCGCACACACTCTCACACACTCGCACACACTCGCACACACCCGCACACACCCGCACACACCCGCACACACCCGCACACACCCGCACACACCCGCACACACTCGCACACACACGCACACACCCGCACACATCCGCACACACCCGCACACACCCGCACACACCCGCACACACCCGCACACACCCGCACACACCCGCACACACCCGCACACACCCGCACACACACAGACACCTACCAGCCCGTCAACAGCCTTGGCATGCAGCCACTTGGAGAGGCGCTCATGCGACATTCGGTTGAAAACGCATGTGAGAGTATAAATCTCTCCCACTCACCAGCCCATGGACAGCCTTGGCATGCAGCCACTTGCTCAGCTTCTTGTGGGACGACTTCTTGATATCCACTGTTGTGCCGGGCGGCCGACATGGCAGCACGTGATTGGACCTGCCAGCACCGATGGCATGGTATGGTGGCAGGGAATCACATAACTCGCATGCCATGCCATGCACTTTGTACATCTGAGACATGAGAGCACGTGCGAACACGGGCGGCCGACATGGCAGCACGTGATTGGACCTGCCGAGGAATGGGTGGTGGAGTGGAAGGAGCAATTTCTTATCTTGTATATACAAGCTTATCTGAACGTGCTGGGTGCTGCCGGTAATGTATTGCGGACTGTCAAATTACGGAGACGCCTAATAAATCGACCAATGTAAGACAGGAGTAAGATTAGCCAGTTGCTGCTAAGTCAACAATTTAACAAGTTTACTTGATTGGTCGGCCAGCCCTGCACAAGTGGTGGGAGCGACAGGTGAAGATTTGGGAGGCAGGATGAGGGAACCCGGCAAGTAGGCACCTGAAGCAACGGCTGGGAAACAACCTGAAACGCGAAGCTTAGCACCTGAGAACGTGGTTACCAAAGAGAGCACTCTTACCAGAGGGAGCCTTACCGGAGGGAGCCTTACCAGAGGGAGCCTTACCAGAGGGAGCTAGCTCCAAGGGGCAGGTGGGAGGGCTTCACAGAGACGGAGAAGGCCTGCAGTAGACAGCGATCCAAGAGTTCGTCCATCTGTACTGTTGCAATTGCCGCCTGAGAGAGAGTTTACCAGTGAGAGGGTACCAGAAGGAGCATACCAGAGAGAGCTGGCTCCCAAGGGCAGGTGGGAGGGCTTGATGGAGACGGAGAGGGCCTGCAGCAGACAGCGATCCAATAGCTCGTCCATCTGTGCTGGCGTCATTGGTGGTGCTGCTGGTGCTGCTGGTGCTTCTTCTGCAACAGATGCTGTTTGATCGCCCTCATTGCCCCCGCCAGCGTTATCAGCAGCAGCAGCAGTGTCATGCACGCCCATTTGCTGCAAAGATTCCGACAGTTGCTCTGATGAATCTGCTGCTGCTGCCACTGCTGCTCCTGCTACTGCTACCCCCTCTCTAGCAGCCTCCTCTCTCCCTTCATCAACCCTCTCCTCACCCATCCCCGCTTCGCCCCCAACCTCTCCAGCCCCAGCAGAACCCAGGCCGCCATCAGGTGAATCTTCAGGTGCTGCTCCATCTGACGGAGCAGGTGTGGCATCAGGGTCGGGCACAACCAGGTCCGGCAGGAAGCCCTTGTTGGGCACATACGATCCCTCTGATGTCTCCCTGCGGGCGTGGGTTGGCGGAAGAGAAAAGAATTGCACAAGGGTTGAGCATGAGAGCAGGAGAAGGAGCAGCGCACAGACAGGCACAAGCAGGTCCGGCAGGAAGCCCTTGTTGGGCACATACGAGCCCTCTGCCGTCGCCCTGTGGGCATGGGAAGGGGGTGGCAGGGCAGGTGGGTAATAGGACTAACCATGACCACACTACACAGGACGAGCCTCAGCAGCTATACAAGCGCTACACTCAGGCACGAGCACGAGCAAGTCCGGCAGGAAGGAAGCCCCTGTTGGGGACATAAGAGGCAGGCGAAGCATCTGGGTCGGGCACAAGCGGGTCCGGCATTAAGCCCTTGTTGGGCACATACGAGCCCTCTGCCGTCGCCCTGTGGGCATGGGAAGGGGGTGGCAGGGCAGGTGGGTAATAGGACTAACCATGACCACACTACACAGGACGAGCCTCAGCAGCTATACAAGCGCTACACTCAGGCACGAGCACGAGCAAGTCCGGCAGGAAGGAAGCCCCTGTTGGGGACATAAGAGGCAGGCGAAGCATCAGGGTCGGGCACAAGCAGGTCCCGCAGGAAGCCCCTGTTGGGCACGTACGAGCCCTCTGCTGTCTCCCTGCGGGCGCGGTGGGGAAGTGGGGAGGGAACGGAGCGTCAAGTGGTGGTGCTCCATTTGGAGGAGAAGAGCAGGCGAAGCATCTGGGTCGGGCACAACCAGGTCCCGCAGGAAGCCCCGATTGGGGACGTACGAGCCATCTGCTGTCTCCCTGAAATCACGAGAAGCGGGGAGGGGGGGGGGGGGGGAGAGGAGCCGGGATAGTGGGCAGGTCCCGCAGGAATCCCTTGTTGGGGACGTACGAGCCATCTGCTGTCTCCCTGAAATCACGAGAAGCGGGGAGGGAGGGGGGGGGGGAGAGGAGCCGGGATAGTGGGCAGGTCCCGCAGGAATCCCTTGTTGGGGACGTACGAGCCATCTGCTGTCTCCCTGAAATCACAAGAAGCGGGGAGGGAGGGGGGGGGGGGGGGAGAGGAGCCGGGATAGTGGGCAGGTCCCGCAGGAATCCCTTGTTGGGGACGTACGAGCCATCTGCTGTCTCCCTGCGGGCGTGGGTTGGTGCGGAAGAGAAAGGGATTGCACAAGCGTTGAGCATGAGAGCGGGAGAACAAGCAGCGCACAGACAGGCATGACCAGGTCCGGCAAGAAGCCCTTGTTGGGGACATAGGAACCCTCTGCCATCTCCCTGAAAGCACGGGAAAGGGGGAAGGAGCGTTAGGTGGTGCTCTGCATGAGGCAGAGCACAGCAGGCATGGCACCCCAGGCAGGCAGGCAGGCAGGCAGGCGCAAGCAGGTAGCGCAGAAAGGAAGCCCTCTGGTGTCTCCCTTGTTCATAAGGCGCAAGAAGGCACATAAGATCCCTCTGCTGTCTCCCTGTCGGTGTGGGAAAGGGGGGAGGAGGGAGCCTTAGGTGGTGCTCTCCATGAGGCAGAGCACAGCAGGCATACAAAGTGAGTACAGCAGGCCATGAGGTGGTGCTCTCCATGAGGCAGAGCACAGCAGGCATACAAAGTGAGTACAGCAGGCCATGAGGTGGTGCTCTCCATGAGGCAGAGCACAGCAGGCATACAAAGTGAGTACAGCAGGCCATGAGGTGGTGCTCTCCATGAGGCAGAGCACAGCAGGCATACAAAGTGAGTACAGCAGGCCATGAGGTGGTGCTCTCCATGAGGCAGAGCACAGCAGGCATACAAAGTGAGTGGGGATTGGGGTGGATTTTATACTGAGTGCAGTAGTATTGGGACACATGTGGGGTTGCTGACCAAAGTGAGTCACGGTAGTAGTGGGTGATTCGAAGGAGCTTCCCTCTCATGCCTGCTCTCACGGCCTCTCGTGTGAGCGGACAGCGAAAAAGTGGGTGGGAATTGACACCACAAGGAGGATGTGAGTGGACAGAGAGAGTAGAGTAAGGTGGAATGCAGTGCTGACCAGAGGGAGTCGCGGTAGTAGTGGGTGATTCGGAGGAGCTTCCCTCTCATGCCTGCTCTCACGGCCTCCGCACTGCCCACCATCGTTATGCCCACCTGCGTGCATGAGCATGGGGAATGGTGGAGTGGAAACACATGCACACACGGACGGATGGGATGGGGTGAGATAGGACATGCACATACGGACGGATGGGATGGGGTGAGATAGGACATGCACATACGGACGGAATGGGACATGGTACACATGCACATGCATATATGGGATATGGCGCACATGCACATGCATATATGGGATATGGTGCACATGCACATGCACATGCACATATGGGACATGGTGCACATGCACATATGGAATATGGTGCACATGCACATATGGAATATGGTGCACATGCACATATGGACAAAATCACACAAGCTTATGTAGCAGCATGTAGCAGTGCAATTGAGCATCGCGCACTTACCGCAATGGGGCAGGAGTTTCCTGGAACCTTCACGGACCACACCTCCCCTGGTCGGAACCCTGGCAGGCCTTCCGCAGGCACCTGGCGGGCAGAGGAATGCAGAGGGGTGCAGAGGGGTGCAGGAGAAGACATTTTTCAGGAGAACCGAACCGAAAGGGGGAACTTTTGAATAGAATCCAAGTAAACTCACATGCACACGTGGCGCCATGATATCAGCCCCTGACAGCAAGTAGCGGAGACCTTTCAAGCACTAGACGCTACACTATACCCTCACCCTGTAACCTACTGCACTATCCTTAAACCCTCCCTTCACTCTCATATGCATGCCTGGTGCCATGAGGTCAGCCCCTGACAGCACGTAGCAGGAGAACGGCAAACACAGAACGCTGCGCCCTAGAATTTCCCCCACCTTCGCAATACCTTAAACCCCCACCTCACTCTCACTCACCTGCAGCCCCTGACAGCACATAGCGGGATACCTCCCCACCCTTGAGCAGGAAGGACGGCAGCAGGTCAGGCACACGCCACAGCGCAAACACTGGGATGGGGTGTGAGGGTTGGGTTGACAGCGGTTCAGGGTTTCGGGGTTTAAGGAGACTGTTGCGGCAACTTGGAAGTCATCACCTCCCTCCCTGCCCTTGAGCAGGGCACCAGGTCAGGCACAAGCCACATCGCAACAATTGGGGATGGGGTGTCAGGACTGGGTTTTAGAGGCAGGAATTGAGGGTATAAGGTTGAAGGTCCGGAAATGAGGGGTTCAGGGTTTGACATGAGGAGGGTGAACAGCAGATGGCTGTTGAGCTGCAGTGAAGGTGATTGAAATAATAGCATGGGACGGGCATGGAGGGCGCACAGGAAGCACGTGCAATGGACGGCGGGAACAACAAATAAGGAGATCTGGAGGGAAGGGCTAAGATCAAACCACACGATTCAAGTCATGAAGAGCGGAGGAGGGCGAGAAGGGAGGGGAGGGGGCGGGGAAGGGAGGGAGGGAGGGAAGAGCGGAGAAGTTTGTATGAGTATCTGTGTGGTTACATCGGTGTGGTTACATGGCCATGTGGTTACCAGTGGGGTAGATCTCGGTGCCGCGGCCGTCGCAGTCGAAGAGCATGGGCAGCCCGTTCTCGAGTCCGTACACCAGCACGCGATTCACCAGCCTCGTCACCGCCACGTCAGCCTGGACCACCAAACAGGCAGGCGAGTTCCAATAGAATAAAAAGAAGAAAATAACGCTGAAGAGAGCAGGAAATCCGGTAAGCGCAGGCATAAGTGGAGGTGGAAGACGCGCTGCACTAGATTGAAATCACTTTTGAGAATTCTCAAAAGTGATTTCAATATAAGATCACAACATATCATACCCTAAGTGGAGGCTCTTGCGGTCATATCATATCATATCATATCATATCATCGATTCAACATGCGAATATCACAAGGCGAATGCGGGGGACGCAGAGGTTAACTGGGAGGTAATACACGAGGGTTAAAGCTGTAAGTTTCTAAGGAGCGGCGGCAGGATCGCTACTACATCGGAAATTTTCGGGTCCTGGGTAAGGGAGTGAATTGCTGATTTAGGGCAGTGAATGGTTGGATTTCGCGATCGCTTGAGCTGCCCATTGACGATCGAGGGTTTGGATCTTCACGGCTGGAACCAGCCTCACTCATCGAAGTCTGTAAATGGCGATTGCCATTCGCGTGAGATGACGGTAGATTGTCGTGACTGGCTATAAATGTTGGTGAGCTGCTTTCAACAACCACCCCGACCGGACTTCAATTGTGTGTAGGCCCTTCGCGAATGGGGCGATTGTGTGAGAGATGGTTGGATCCTGCAATTTAAGGCAGAGTTGTTACCACGCGCGCTTTCAGTTACATCGACACCAACAAGCATAGAAACCGTCAGACTGTACACCATCAAATCTTAATTGTGCTTGTTTTTTACAATATGTGACTGTATGCAAATACCCTTAAGTTTTGATAATATACACTTCTCTCAGATTTTCGTAAGTACATGCAACTAACTTTGAATGTTAGTATATAAAATACCGCAAATTTTATATACACGTTCAATTCGTTATAAACGCTGATATTGATTAGAAGACGCATATTGCCACCCATTGCTAAAATAAACATGCTTCTTGGTGGTCATTAGATTATTAGCGCCTGTACTACAAACATCACCATGCAATTATTCACTACGAACTAACTAAACTGGAACACCATTTGGAAAAAATTGGCTCTCAAAACCGTCTATCTCAATCTTAACTGCCTTGCACATTTGAAAACCAGCAGGGTGGCTTGGATTCCAAACACTGGGATCACGGATGTACCACTCCTTCAGCCACGAGATGATTTCTTCAGTCTTCCTCCGCATGTTCTGTGTGTTGAGGAGCTCATTCCCAGACATCGCAGGAACCTTGGATCCCTTTGCGTTGGCCATTGGCCATTCAACCTGCACATGAACAGTAAAAAATAAACAATGTAAGATACACCTCAAGAAGTAAAACTTGGGAAAATACATTGAAACTTACCACGTAGCACACATACGCGGCTCCAACAAGCTTGACGTTCCAGGCAGTAGCTTTCACGCCACCGAAAGCCTTGCTCACTGCCATGATCCAGCCTAGGTTGGAAAAGGGACGCTCGCCTTCGGTGCAATGCCAATTAGAGCCATAGCGATCTGCAAAGTAAAAAACAAAACAGATATGAGTATATCCAGGATTCTAAAAGACACAATAGGCGGACAGTAAGGGAATAATTCTCACCATGCTTAAACTTTTCTGCCCACTGCACAGGTGACCTCACAAATCCAACTTGGATCCCCACTGCGACAAGGGTGGCTACAACCGTCTCGTTGTAGAATCCGCCAAAGCCCCAAGCATACACTCTAATCGGGCTATTAAGGTTAGAACGACGCTCAGAGCATTTCTTCTTGGCAGTCTCCCGCATCTTACAGTCTATAGAAATAGCATAATAGAACTCGTCGTTACTTACCCCGTCCTCCAAATACTTCATGGCGACGATGTGCTGAAGCTCTGACCATTCCGGAAAAAAGCTCATGTAGCTTCCAGGGGCAACGGTTGTCAGCCAATAGATTGAGTCACTCGTAAATTTCTGGGAACAAATTACGGTAACAACGGTCGTTAGAATTGACAACACATAGAGAACAATAATGTTGTAACGACTGGGTTCACGGGCGAAAATCTTACACCAATCTGAAGCTCATCCGTGAGCTTTGTCGGAATCTTAATGACCCCGTTTACGACGTCGAGCTTGGTGACGTCCCATTGGAGCGCGGGGCCCTGAATGACGGTGCCAGCCGGGTTTGAGAGTTGAGACGGTGCAGACACGGATAGCGCCCGGTTTTCGAGCGAGTCAATGCGTTGACGCTGCTCTGCAACGACGCTTCGAAGGTGCTCCAGCTCGAGGTCCTTGCTGTCCGCCAAGTTCTGAAGTTCTTCCTCGCGTTGGCGGGAAATCTGCAGCGTGGTTGCAACATCCTCCAACTGAGCCTCCAAATGTATTCCCGCCTCAACTCGTGGATGAAGAGAACCTGATAGCAGAAGCAGGAAATATGTGTCAGCGATTATAAGCATGTTAGGATTTTGGCGTTGAGAATTGTTGTAGTTGACAAGGTTTAAAACAATTCAAAGCATCCAGCTAGGCAACACGAAAACATATTAAAAAAAAATGCACTCACTGGTTCGTGGCCTCACTGGAACTGCAGCGTTGACGGGGGCAAATCGTGGCTGAACGGTTGTGTTAGAGGTGGCGATTGCCTCACCGTCCTCTACGAGTTCACCCGTTGCACCAGCAATTGTCTCACTCGGATTACTTGGTGGGGGGGGCTGTGTTTCAGCTGTGGCTGGTGGCATAGTTGGAGCTGGAGGTGGCTTGATAGCCTGGTGGTTCATCCATGCGAGAAAGTTTAGGTAGTTGTTGTCTGTGACCTGGGGGGCAGTGGAGGTGGTTGGTCGTTTGGAGGGTACTATTGGTGCAGGATCTGAGAAGAAATGAGGAATGGGAATGACTAAGGGAAAGTTGGGTACAAATGCAAACCCTAGAAAACTGTACCCCATATGTGCTACCCCACTATAGCCTACAGTAGCTCTGTCATATAAATCTGACACACCCCCATAGGCAAAGTGGGGGAGAACAAGGGGTCACAAGACCAGTCAAGCAAAGCAAAGCAAGCTCAGGGTGGATCACAAAGTCACCACACATTCCGAGCACAAGTTCAAGGCCACAAGGCCAGTTCACATGCAGGATTACATATATATATAAGGCTAGACAAGCAAGAGCAGGTGTATATATATATGCAACAGTACAAACAAGGTCAAGGGGTGAGCAAGTGAGGCAAGGTAGGCACAAGGCCCAGCTGAGTACAGAAACGCTGATGATCACAAGGCGCAAGTGCCTTGGTGAAGATATCAGCAGTGTTGGCCTGAGAGGCCACGTACGCAAGCCGCAGCTGACCACGCTGCTGTAGCTCACGAGCAAGGAAGTAGCGGAGAGCAATGTGCTTCGTTCTGTGCTCCAGTCTCTGCTCTCGACACAAGGCCAGCATGGCCTTGTTGTCTACGTACAGCACTGGAGGAGAACGAGGCGGCTCTCCGAGGTCAGTCAGCAGGTAGGTGAGCCAGCGAAGCTCCTGTGCAGCCATGGCCCCGGCGTAGATCTCAGCCTCACAACTGGAGCCGAGAACAGAAGACGAGCGGGTAGCCCGCCACGAAACAGAGCCGGAACCAAGGCTGAAGGTGTAACCCTGTGACGACCGCTGCGTAGCCTGGTCGTCAGCCCAAGAAGCGTCTGCGTGCCCAGTGAGGACCACTGGACTCTGCCCTCCAAGCACAAGCCCCATGCCCGACGTACTGCACAAGTAGCGCAACACCCTCTTTGCTGCAGCCATGTGCTCCGGTCTGTGTCTCCCAGGAGCAACATAGCGTGCGAGAATGCTAAGAGGGTATGCAAGGTCAGGTCGTGTGCAGGTCATCAGGTACATGAGGCAGCCAACAAGCTCTGGGTACGGGCCACTCGACTCTACGGACTCATCCGAAGGCAGAGCTGAGAGCGAGTGGCGAGTAGGCAGAGGAGTGGCCTGAGGCGAGGAGTACGTGAAGCCGAAGCGCTGAAGGACCTGCTGCACCATGTGTGACTGAGTCAGGGTAATGGTGCGGCGTGCTCTGTCCCGGGTGATATGCAAGCCAAGGTAGCTGCGCAGTTCACCCAGGTCTGTGCACGTGTGTCTCTTCTGCAGCTCGGACTTCACGTGGGCGAGTCCAGCAGTGTCAGCTGTGGCAAAGACCAAGTCGTCGACGTACACGAGGATGTAGAACGGCGGCAAAGAAGTGTCGGTGCGCAGAAACAGCGACGGGTCGGCAGTAGAGGGAGCAAACCCAAGAGCCGCAAGTGTAGTCCTCAGTGTGTCGTGCCACTCACGCGGTGCCTGGCGGAGACCGTAGACTGGCCGCCGGAGGCTCCACTGGGTGCCAAGAGGAAAAGACCCAGTGAAGCCAGGTGGGCGACGCAGCCAGATCTCCTCGTGCAGGCTGCCCTGCAAGAAAGCAGTGCTGAAGTCAAGAGAGTGCAGCCCGTAGTCGCGGTGAGCAGCTATGTGCAGCAGTACCCGAAGAGTGGTCATCTTCGGGGTGGGAGAGAAGGTCTGAAAGTAGTCAACTCCCTGCCGCTGACTGAAGCCACGAGCCACGTAACGCGCCTTGAAGACAGGCGGAGAACCCGGTGGCCGCTTCACCCTGAAAATCCACATGCCACTGACGATGTTCGCCCCAGGCGGGGGAACCTCGTCAACGTAGGTGCCTGTGGACTTCCAGGAAGCCATCTCTGTGTCCATAGCTGCCTGCCACTGAGAGGAGTAGGGACCCTCTATCGCCTCCGCGTAAGAGCGCGGAGTCGGGATGTCAAGTGCATCCGGGTCTCCCTCAGGGGTAAGCAGTACGGACACGAGATGAGGTGAAGCAGCAGCCAAACACTGGAACTCCTCCTGCCTGTCCTCAAGGACGTCCGTGCCAAGGGCACACTCACCCCCGACGGACGGAGGACAGACAGACTCAGACTCAGCGACAAGACAAGCAGCGTAGTCTAGACGACAGCGAGCAGCAAAGTCGACGAGCTCAGCAACTAGGGCAGACGCAGCAGTGGACGCAAAGGAAGGGTCAGTGACGACAGTAGTAAGGAGACGCGTGACAGTAGGACTGGCAGCACGAAGAGAGTCAGACTCCGGGTCGGGAAGAGCAGGAAGAGAGGACTCAGGAG